TTATTAATATTAATTATTTATTATTCCGTATTATTATTATGTTTCAAATTACGTATGTTTTTATTTTTAAGTTCATGTAGCCAGCCACCGATTGACCCTCAATCAAGTACTGGAACCAATGCACACGTCACGAGTTAGTTTATCCTCTTACCTTCATCGTCACTGAACCATAAGGGGCGCTCGTAACCCATCTTCGTCGAAAACATGCCACCGTTCTTGTACAGTATCGGGTAGAGCGGAGAGGTCCTCACCCCGCGACCGGTCTCATACTCGTTGTACGGGTACGTGATCTTGTAGTGTCGGCCTGTACAATACACAGTTAGCAGCCATACAACTGAATAAAGAGTGTTTTCTGATTTAAGTTGTGATCGTCACTTAGTTCAGGACTATTGCAAGTAACATCTGTGTTGGCGATAGAGATAATTTGGGGGTCATGGTTTAATTTCAAAGTTAGCAATTGATTTGGGATGAAAGGTGGAATTAATGTTAATGCTAAGACAAATGCTGGAAATGATACAATTGAGCTTTGTTAAAAGATTACGCATTTCATCTTACTCCCAAATAGCCATGCATGCCGATACAAAACAGCTTGCACATTAAAGTCACAAGTATAAATAATATAAACGTCTGCTGTGCCTTACATAATCTCATGGTTTGGGAAGTTAAGTAATTTGGCCTGACACTAATAACGTTTAACGTTAGCGACAAGCAACCTGAGCATGGTTTTGGAAGTTAGATGTTTTAGCCTGACACTCATAAAGGTCCATCATAGAGCATACATATATATATATAGGCCGTAGCTACGCGTCCGGTTACCGGACGCCCAGTTCCCAGGCTACGCATCCGGTCACATATTTCTTATGTGAACCCAACTATATTTTTTTCAGTAAAAAACAATAAACAATAAGTTTTTACCATAATATTACTTACTTTTAGGTATTTTATAAAAAAAGAAGTATTTTTGTAACTTTTGAAGCAATAGTAAATCCAGTAAAATCAACGATATGAAAGGGGGCGTGGCCTAATCATGACGTGGATTTGGGAATCTGTGCTGAGCTTTGTAATGGTTGAGCAGAAGTGTAGCCATTGCGATATATATATTATACATCATGCCTACCAACAATCTCAGGAATCCTGTCCTTCAGAAACGCCTTGATGTTGTGTCCCTCGAAGAATCGCTGGATCTCCAGTGCCCACAGGTCGGTCATGAGCCGTCCCTCAATGCCAAGGATTCGCTCGGCCAGGGCGCGGCCAACCCCACCCGCCGCTGCCACACCCATATCACAGAATCCAGCTGCCACGTAGTAGTTGTCCACCTGTAAGACGCACACACACAGACACACAATGAACTACGTACTAGCGCACTAATGCACTCTCTACTCACGAGGGTGCTTACGTCGGGTGCTTCTTACGTACTAGCGCACTAGTGCACTCTCTACTCACGAGCGCTTACCTCGGGTGCTTCGCCGAGTATCCACGTGCCGTCGGGCGTGAACGACTCGGGTCCGTTCACCATGTGCAGCGCAGGCTGCGGGTCGCTGTTCGGAAACCTGTATCGAAGCCTCCGAAGCAGGTAACCTGCAGCGAGGATTCTGTTACGGCCATGAAGCCATTCAACTCTAGGACGATGCAGTGTAGCCCCGTTATAACGCGATGGTTGGGGTCCATAAAATGTCATCGCCAAAAAAGGGGGGGTCATGCTAAATCGCGGTTATATATACGTGGCTATATAAGAGCAAAAAAAGGGGTCCAACGACTCATCGCGTTATATCAGAATTCGCGTTAAATCGGGGCGCGTAAAATCGGGATTCCACTGTATTTAGATTTATCAATCGGAAGTTGTTCGGACCTATTGTCAGAAACAAAATTAGTCTTAACGTTAGTTGTAACATTAATTTTTTCTCATAGACTCTTGACAGAAGCATGGCAAAGTTACGAGTTTGTCACATGCAGTGTATAGGTCCGGTAAGCGCGTTTCGACTCACCGCAGCCCTCCCAGTCTTCCGGGAGAACCCGGAATTCAAAGTCCTCTGGAATGCCCTCGGTAAACACAGGCCGCGCGTTGGATTCGTAACCCTTGATGAGCAGACCGCCTCCTGCGAGCGGCTGAAACTGAATCCCTCCGTCGTAATCCCTGATCACTGTAAGCACGATACAACGCACATAGGAAAAAAATTTCTTTTTTTTTCACGGGAACTCTTTTTCAAAAGTCTGTGGGAAAAATAGCTCTTGTCAAAAATTTTACGGGAGCTATTTTGAGCCTCACGAGAGCGATTTCGGAGGTTTGAAGAGCGAATCGCTCATTGCTCCTGCGAATTTTTTACCCTGAACGCACACGACATCACAATCATGGCCAATGTAGAGCCTGAAGTTAGCGATACACGATACGTGGTTTAAGATGGGTTTATATTACCAAGTTTTGTGACGCAATACTGTAATTTCTTTGATTATTCATCATTTAATTTGCAGAGTAGCTGCGTGACGCATCACCTCTATTCTCCACCAGACAATGACTTCGAAATTGCATAACTTACACAATAAAGAAAGACTTTGTTACTAGAGAGTTCAACTAGCAAGCTATACCAGCAGACACGGTATCCATGCCAGGGATAGGCTTGGTAGTCACGGCTGCGTGCTCCACGGAATGCACTGGTACTCTCACAGAATCCTTGCTCTTTAAACCCAGGTCTCTGGCCCACTGCCATCAGTTACAGACAATGTCACAGCTAAACTGACAACACATATGTCTCACCAGATGGTATGAGGGATGACAGAAATGTACGTATACCTCCTTGTAAGAGATAACATGTATGTAGCAGTACCATTTAATATTACACAGAACGCCAAACTTCATGGACTTTTGTCCTTTTATGTTTGCCTTATGTGGTATGATGCATCGAAACGAAAATCACGAATAATTAAATTGAAATTTAGCTTTGGATGGATGATCGAGTGAAAAAAACCAGTTTTTCTGGATATATAGTTATCAGACGTAAGCTCGCGATGCATGAGCCTCCTGGTGACCTGATGAATCTGCACCCACCTGACCAGCACAGTTGACAAAGAATTCACAGTTGATGACGCCCTTGCTTGTGCGCACGCCTTTCACTCGCTTCGACTCTGTTAGAACCTCCTCCACTTTCACTTTCTCTATGATGGTCACACCTGTGCGATAATTAAAACAGCAGATGAACATTGGGTTGTTAATTATTCGATGTCCCCCATGAGTGCCAGTGTGTGGAGACCTAATTTTCAATCCAGAAAACAAATTTTATTTTTAACGTAAACTATAAAATACTTAAAAAATATGTCTGTCAACTTATATAAAGCTACATATATAAAAGCAGAATTACTCAAGTAAGGTTTTTACGTGTTTGTGATGCGCTTATACTAATATATATATATATTACAGGAATATTCATTATTATTTAACCATGTAATTCTGTAAAATTAGTTGTAAGACAACCATTACCTTTCTCAGCAGCTAGTGTCGCCATCGTGTGGCAGAGTTTAATAGGATTCACAACGCCATCACCGGGAACTAACGCAGCACCCTAGTGTCAATATATACAGAATTAAAATGATTCTTAATATCTAGTATCAGGGGCGTAGCTACGGGGGAATTAAATTTTCTGTGCCCCCCCAGGTGCCCCCCCACTGAAAATTTATGCTTAATAAAAAAAAAATTGATTAAAAACAATGCCGTTAGAACAGTATAATACAAAGAAAAGTTATATATTGTGCCCCCCCCCCCACGAAAATGTAAGGCCCCCCCAGTGCCACCCAGCTGAAGAAATCCTAGCTACGCCACTGTCTAGTATATATAAAGAACCTTTCAAAGAGAAAAATTTAGAGTATTTTTAGAGAGAATTTAAGTTAATACTATAAAATAATATATTATTCTAACGAATAGTATATAGAGAACTATTGATCTATGCGTTTGACATGTTTATATTGTCTATATGACACCTTTAGATCATTGACTTTCATCAGTGGTACCATGGTCTTGACTTCATCAGTCGTGATAAAATCACAGTTCAACTTTTGCACCCTGAATGTAAACAGCTAGGTATAAAAACATATACATGTTGCATAATTAAGAAAACAGGTGATAGCAACAGCTAAAACAATTAAGTAATTTTGTCTTAATGAATTTTACCAACAACATATTCATTTAAACCTAATTAAGCACAATCACGTTTAAAAAAAAGTACAATAAAATCACTCAGACTCTACCAATGAAACTCATTTGCAATTGTCAACTGTCTAATTACAATTAAATGATAATAATAGATTTAAACCTCCATCATATGCTTGGTAATGTGTGCATATCACCACAAAACAAAAATTCAACTCACTTGGCTTGAGCCACTAGACGTCGGAGTGACACCATGCGGTTTTCTGTCCTGGCCAAGTTAATGCTGCCTGACTGCATCCAGCCTTTGGAAACAACATGCAGAGATTATGACACAAAATGCTTTTATCAAATTAAGCTATACTCAAACATATATTAACAAATAACGTAGCCTTAAAAAACACAAGTTGTTGTAACTGGATTGTTACATCAGAGTTTCCTTTATCAGAAGATTCAGTCACAGTTTTCGTAATATTCCAGCTACTAATAACTGCAAGTGTAAAACACAAGCTTTTGCTACAATGTACATAAATATAACTTTGATTTAATACGTGTGTAATACTGATTGTAATTTAGTTAAATCAACATGAAGCAATTCTAGATCACAATTATGTGTATTTGTGTAATAATAGAAAAGCTCACCGATATCATGACCTTCGTCCTGCAGGGACCTGTATAGGTCTACACTTATCTGACACAGTTGTCTTTCTGCTGCTCTGCGGAGACACCCTACTATGCCAGAGGCCATCCACGTCACTCCACACGATAGTCTGCATAACACACGTGATATTTAATGTAATAAAACCTTCTTAGAAATCAATTTACGTTTCGTTAAAGTCTTGCTGTTGTATATCCCCGACATTTACTATTCTTCAAGATATAGGCTTCTTAATTTATACCAGAATGGCCACCTTTTTTCTCCCTGCATAGAATATTATGCTATTTACATATAGACTTTTCAGAGCTGAATGAAAACGACTGACAGCACCTTTAAATGCTAGATACTATACTTCTTTAAGACAGTGCCACAGCTATTTTAAAGTCTATGCTTCTAGCTTTGAGTATACAGGACTTATTAAAATGAGTGATGCATGCATCATAATTCACATACCTCCCCTTTTCCAAAAGGACAACATCTGTCAAACCGAGCTTGGCCAGTTGAAAAGCAACCGATGTTCCCATTACTCCACCACCACATATCACAACCTTGGCGTGGGTCGGCAAATCGCTTGTGTATGCGGGAGCAGTGCTGCCGGTGCTGTAACTCTGCAATAAATCATAACCAATCTCTAATAAACTGTTAATAGTGTATCATGAATTCATAATTCATCATAATTCGTGATATTCATAATTCATAATTAATATAATTAATCATTCTTATCATTATCATTCAATGTGAATGTGTGCCAAAAAATAAGAACAAAACGTTTAATCACTAAATAAGTGCATGTGGCTCTTTATTAGATAGCAACTATTCCATTAGTTCATATTATTAAATTCCTACCACTACCATAAAATTAATATCATCGGTTACTAAGTAGTAAGTAGTGAAACAAATTTTTATTTATTTTTTCATTTTTATATATTTATTTATTTAGGCAATTATCCATCATATATACAATACATAGCATACTTTTACAATAGAATCCTGAATTAATAAAATTGGATAACTACCAAGGATATATATATACACAAAAAGCATGACTAGCACACTTATTTACATTGTGGTCCTTGTTTTGCTATGCCTAGAATCTAACAATTACACTACTATCAGCACTAACTATTGAAATATACAAATTTGTAGTTTTAACCGGTCATACAATGGTACATTCTCATAAGACGATACAAACTTTTCTTATGCCTAATTAGTAATTTCAACCGAATTCTTTTAGTGAAAATCATACTCCTGTGCCTCTAGACGTGATGCGGCCATGATGCCGAGGCGAGCCGAGGATTGACACTTTGTGTCCTCCAATCACAGCCTACGCCGCACCTCCCTTTGAAATTTTTATAGGTGGGGACCCATCACAGTACCAAATCGCCGATCTCATGAACTAGGGTATTCTGCTAGGCTAGAACGGTTTTCTACGATAGAGTTTGGCACAAAAACGAAAATAGCACGCCATTTAGCGCACTGCGCTACGTACTTCTGTTGCATTTTCGCATCTCCGTAATCACAATAAGCCCCACCTTCTTCGTTGATGGGCATGAATGGAGCGTCACCGACGTGACCAGTTCCTATACCGACTGTGTTTACTTTTCGTAAATAATGAAATGCCCGGCCGATGCTAGACTGGTACCCGTTCGCCACCTTCACTCCGGCAAGTATCTTTCGCTACACTGACGCTGTTAGTGTAGCGTGTGGAACTGTCGACCGGGTACCAGTCTAGGCCGATGCCAAACTGCATGCAGTGCACCTTCGTACACTCAGGATACTCGTAGATTGAGCCCATAAGCGAGAGCGCCACCTGTCGTGGAGTTTGGGCCGATGCGATGCATTTTCCGCGTGATTATTATTTTGCGCAGGCACTCATTTTCGAAATCCTCCAACATTTGTACTTCTTCCATTAAGTCCATGTTTCACTGTTATTTAGGAAGGAAGGTAAAACTGTGCATTCGTATAATTTCACTCTTGCTTCTATAGTATGATTTCCATAATTTTGCTATTCTGCCCATGATAATATTTCCCTTATCATGAACCTACATTTTTCAGTTCGGACTCTTATCATATCGTTATAACCTGCTATATCATTAATTAAATTCCCTAGGTATGAATATTTGGTGCATTTTTTGATTACTTGGTTGCCTATTAATATCTCCTTCTCGATCCTTTCTTTGTTGGTGAATTTTATTACCATTGTATTTGTTTTGTTCATATTAAATTCTAATCTTTTTGATTCAGCTAATCTGGAGCATGACGGAGCAATTTTTGTTACTGTTTTATAATCTCCAATTCCTAGAATATCGTCCATATATAATCATTGTCATCTTCTAAAACTACAGACCATCTGCTGACCACTGTGGAGACGTGCGACGGGCCTCGAATTTGGTGCACGTCTCCACTGCGGACAGCGCTTCATACTTGAATATCCCCGCTGTCGCGTGCGCATATCCCGCGGAACTGCGTGTCTCATCCGCGCGCAGCGCTTAGGATCAACAGCAAAGCTGTGCCACGCAATCTGGTATCATGTCTCTCTGGACTAAAGTCTAAAGACTAAAGTAATATGTTTCTACCTTTTCCATCAGACATTTCTTAACACTATACTTAAAACTAGAATAAACAGAATTTGTCCTAACTAATTGCTGTGGTAGAGAGTTCCAAGCTTCAATTGCAGTATAAGCAAAAGAGTTTTTCCCACTGCTTCCCACCCTCGGTTTAAAAATAGACATCTTACCTTCCCTTGTATTGAAACTATGGACTTCTGTCATATATTGTGGGCCGAGATTATGTAATATTTTAAAAACCCTATTGACCTTCAGTTGCATTACCCTGAACTCTTACAGGTACGGTACCTGGTACCGGTACTAAACTCTCACAGCCTTGACCTTGCCTATGCCCTAGTTATTTTTTAGCAAGGTGAAACGCACTATTCTAAGCGAGACGTGGTACGTGTTTATCAGCTAAATTGCACCTTTCTGAATATTGCAAAACCGCGGCATCTTACGACGTTTCGACATCTTCTCAAATACATGCTTCTCATATTCTTTATATGGCGCTATCTATCTGTATAAAACTACATGGCGATAAGTTAAAGATTGTACTATAGAGTGGGCGCTGACATATTGAAATGACGTAGATAGCTACTCAATGCGCATGTGCTGACCACCTTGCTAAGTTGTTTGGTTTTCTCTTGAGTCTTTATTCGTTACACTAGTTTCTTTATGCCATACACGTAGATTCCCTTCTACATTTTCTTGCTAATGGGCAGTTTTCGCACTCTGGTACGTGTTTTACTTCTTATTTTAACATTATGTAAGTCGAGAAATGAACTGCTCATTTTGGAGCCTGGAGGCTGGAGGGTTGTTTACACGCTACTGCATCTGCTAGTGCTAGGCTACAGTACTGTACTGTACCGTGTACGGGGGTACGGGTACGCAAATCCACTTTAGGCACCTTAGGTATCACGAAGTGATGCACAGATTTCTGTGTATCAATTATCATCAACTGATGCACAGACTTTCCGTATATCAAGGAATGATGCAAAAACCCTAACCCTAATTCCCTAAGTCATAAAGTATAACCTTAGCCTTAGGTATCACGAAGTGTGTTAGGGTTAGGGTTAGGGTTTTTGCATCTTTCCTTGATATACGGAAAGTCTGCATCAGTTGATGATACACAGAAATCTGCGCATCACTTCATGATACCTAAGGTGCCTAAAGTGGATTTGCACCCTGTACGGGTACGGCAGTCACACTAACATGACTACGCATGCGCTGCAGCCTTATCTTAATGTCTCGAGGCTACGGGTACGGCAGTCCCACACAGAAGTACAAACAGTCGCCCTATCCCTAACCCAACCCTAACCCTAACCCTAATACTAACTCTAAACCGACTCGGCTATCTTATATACGCGTGTTATAGTACCCGTATTATAGGTATTATAGTACGCGTGTTATAGGTGTATGGTGTATAACCTTTTGCTTTCAATATTTTGCATCTGAACTGACAATCAATCCCAACCAACTGGTGTAGGCTAGCTGGCACAATAATGTTCATTTTCATACTTCAAATCCGAGTGTTTTCTAGCTCATCACAAAATCTTCCAAAAATAACCATATGATCTGATGAATCATAAACAAAAATACATTTGATACCTGTGCTATAGTTTGCAACATCACAAAAACGGCAATTAGGAG